TCAGTCAACGGTAGACAGTTAGTAAACAGTTGTGTCAGTTAACGGTGGACAGTTAGGGAACAGTTGTGTCTGTTAACGGTAGACAGTTAGGGAACAGTTGTGTCTGTTAACGGTAGACAGTTAGGGAACAGTTGTGTCTGTTAACGGTAGACAGTTAGGGAACAGTTGTGTCTGTTAACGGTAGACAGTTAGGGAACAGTTGTGTCAGTCAACGGTAGACAGTTAGGGAACAGTTGTGTCAGTTAACGGTAGACAGTTAGGGAACAGTTGTGTCAGTTAATGGTAGACAGTTAGGGAACAGTTGTGTCAGTTAACGGTAGACAGTTAGGGAACAGTTGTGTCAGTTAACGGTAGACAGTTAGGGAACAGTTGTGTCTGTTAACGGTGGACACTTAGGGAACAGTTGTGTCTGTTAACGGTAGACAGTTAGGGAACAGTTGTGTCAGTTAACGGTAGATAGTTAGGGAACAGTTGTGTCTGTTAACGGTAGACAGTTAGGGAACAGTTGTGTCAGTTAACGGTAGACAGTTAGGGAACAGTTGTGTCAGTTAACGGTAGACAGTTAGGGAACAGTTGTGTCAGTTAACAGTTAGGGAACAGTTGTGTCAGTTAACGGTGGACAGTTAGGGAGCAGTTGTGTCAGTTAACGGTAGACAGTTAGGGAACAGTTGTGTCAGTTAACGGTAGATAGTTAGGGAACAGTTGTGTCTGTTAACGGTAGACAGGGAACAGTTGTGTCAGTTAACGGTAGACAGGGAACAGTTATGTCAGTTAACGGTAGACAGGTAACAGTTGTGTAAGTTAACGGTAGACAGTTAGGGAACAGTTGTGTCAGTCAACGGTGGACACTTAAGGAACAGTTGTGTCAGTTAACGGTAGACAGTTAGGGAACAGTTGTGTCAGTTAACGGTGGACACTTAGGGAACAGTTGTGTCTGTTAACGGTAGACAGTTAGGGAACAGTTGTGTCTGTTAACGGTAGACAGTTAGGGAACAGTTGTGTCTGTTAACGGTAGACAGTTAGGGAACAGTTGTGTCTGTTAACGGTAGACAGGGAACAGTTGTGTCTGTTAACGGTAGACAGTTAGGGAACAGTTGTGTCAGTTAACGGTAGACAGTTAGGGAACAGTTGTGTCAGTTAATGGTAGACAGTTAGGGAACAGGTGTGTCTGTTAACGGTAGACAGTTAGGGAACAGTTGTGTCAGTTAACGGTGGACACTTAGGGAACAGTTGTGTCAGTTAACGGTAGACAGTTAGGGAACAGTTGTGTCTGTTAACGGTGGACAGTTAGGGAACAGTTGTGTCAGTTAACGGTGGACAGTTAGGGAACAGTTGTGTCAGTTAACGGTAGACAGTTAGGGAACAGTTGTGTCAGTTTACGGTAAACAGTTAGGGAACAGTTGTGTCAGTTTACGGTAGACAGTTAGGGAACAGTTGTGTCTGTTAACGGTGGACAGTTAGGGAACAGTTGTGTCTGTTAACGGTAGACAGTTAGGGAACA